ATCTGAAATGGGTCTGAGATTAGAGACTAGTTAAAATCAAGACTCCATGCACTCATGGAGGTATCTATGTCAAGTTCAAATTGAAGAGTGTAACATTACCCTCGATCCCCCTGCTGTTCAATGAGATCCCATCGGTAGGAAGGTGTTGCGTTAATCTCTCATGTTACCACGGACGACGACCAACGACGCCGAAAGATCAACTCATTCTGATGACCTCATCACTTCTATCTATATATCATTCGTTTCTCATGAAATCGAACCTTTTTCTGCCACCATAGAAATGTAATGGTTGAATTGCATCTTTTGGATATCTTTGTCAATAATAAGAGGGCATGAAGTTATTTTACATTGTGCAAATTAACCCTTAAACTCTAGAGATGAAACTCCTCATGAAAACAGAGCCACTGTCAAATCAAATTATGGGCAATGGATAGAATTACTAACTAAAATTATTTGACTGCAGCTCTTTCAAATACAGTTCTATTTTGTATTCCAAGATAACAAATCCTTATTACTCAATGATCAACCATTTCAAAAGACTTTCAAGATTCAAGATTCAAGATTTTATTGTCCATAATATAATACAGAAATTTGTTTTCCATTGGTATAACATGTAATACATAAAACATAAGACAAAAACATGGTGTCGTGTGCTGAAAGCCAGAGGGGCGTCAAGACTCTATAAGAAAAAGTATGTGAGCAGGTACGGTTCTCCGGCTTTCAGCACAAAACATGACAAGATAGTTATATGACTTATACATAGCAAGAATTTTATATACAATTCTGAATCACATCATGAATAAATTCAGGTATGAATATAGATGTGAATATGAGCAGCATCACAATCGAAATACGAGCAGAAAGATAAAGGAAAAGAGAGCTCAAGCTCGAAGGACTGATAGAAGAGAGAAATATAGGGAAAGTTGGTAGGGGTCCAAAGGAAAATGGGAGAGACAGAGAAGGAGAGATGGCATAATTTCCAATCAGATTATAATGCATGACATAAATATACAACAAAAATCAGCAGCAGAGCTAAACAACGGACGTTTTGACCCCACAAAGGTGATAAGGCGGAAAACTTTCCAACCCAATCCCTACAATAAGCCAGTTTCGCAATGTAACCAAATCCAACGCATACGTCTCTGTGAAGCGCCTCAACACAAATCACCTCACCCACCTGACAAGAACAATAGCACTTCAACAGTCAGAACGCAACTGCATATATTAAGTGTTGCCAGGCAGGTCAAGCCATAATGTTTGTCCAACCTGGCAACAACTTAATATATGCAGTTGCACTCCGACCACCGAAACACTACTACTCCTATCAGGCGAATGAAACAATTTGCACTGAGGCACTTCACAAAGACGCATGCACCAAATTTGGTTACATTACGAAACTGGCTTATTGACTGGGTGGGTAGAAAAAAAGTTAACAAATAATCATAATCGCTATTATTCAGCTTAAAGCTGAGAATTTCGTGTTATTTTTGCATTATAGATGTGCATGGAATTTGGAATAAAAGAATTTCTGTATCTGGCTCTACGGGTAATTGGTACACGCAGGCGGATTCCTGAGCGGTTAAAAGTAAAACAAGAAAATAGTGGATGTGATGGGTCTTTCATAATAGAAGTTATTTTAGTCAATAAGCGATCTTCAAACAAAACTGATAGGGGTGGTAATTCAATGCCGATAATACGTTGAGCAATTTTCCTAGGACGTTCGAGTTTAGTTTTGTCTGCTTGTGTGAGATTTCCATAAAAACAAATGAGATTGAATAGAAGAACACTTTGAATGATAGACTGATAAAAAAGATGCAAGATCGTCCTGTCAACGTTAAATTTTTTGAGCTTCCTTAGAAAAAACATCCGTTGATTAGCTCTACTGTGTACAGCGTTGATGTTCTTATTAAATCGTAGCTTATCATCAATCAAGGTACCAAGATACTTATATTCATGTACGTGTTCGATTGCCTGTTCATGAATATACAAAGGGGTATGATTTACGTCACCACGTCGAAAGTCTATAATAATCTCTTTGGTTTTTTTGACATTCAAATATAGGTTGTGTCGATCGCACCATTCAACAAACTGATTAACTTGACAAAAATATTCATTCTCACTATTTCCTCCCTTAATAAAACCTGTGATGGCAGTGTCATCAGCATACTTAATAAATGAACAACATTGACTGGTACTAGTGCAATCACTGGTATACAGTGAAAATAACAGGGGAGAAAGGACACACCCTTGTGGAGCTCCTGTATTGGTTACCAAAGTAGGGGATTTAATATTTCCAAGTCTTACTGATTGTTGTCTATTTGTTAGAAAGTTATGAACCCAGAGCACTATTTTAACATCAACCTCCATTTCTATCAGTTTATTTATTGAAAGGTGAGGAGTTATGGTATTAAAAGCACTAGAGAAGTCAATGAAGGTACATCTTATATATGATTTGGGGATATCTAAATGACTATATATTCCATGAAGAAGGACAAGAACAGCGTCCTCAACTCCCCTATTCTGTCTATAAGCAAAGCAAAGTCAGAAAGTGTCTTATACTTTTCTGTGCCACTAGGTTTTTGAACACTTGTCATTAATAATTTCAAGAGTTGGATATGGCAGTACTACATGTATACAATACCCAATTTCATTGTTAAAATGGAAATGAAATATTCCATAGAAATAACAATAAAGATACATGTTTGTGTTGGAGGAAGATAATTGTAGCCTTTCAGAGTCAAAATATATTGTTCGATGCTCATGTTGCCTGGGGCGAGGAGGGGGGGGGGGGGGGAGGGGGTGGGTGATTCCTTCGGCATGAGAGGGGTTAACAAAACCTTTTAGGAAATGCATGCATACCCAGCAGCAGAACAACAGAAGGAGGAGGGGGGGGGGGGTGGTGAGAGCCCCTTTCTATGGCACAATCTTGCAAGATGAGGTTATGGTGTGTCATCAATTTGCTGCGGAAGATGGCGTCTTAATTAATGGGGTGATTGCAGAGCTTTTATCCATCCGCATAGGTCATAAAGTTGCACATTAATGAAACATCGTCTCAGGAAAAGAGGCTAATGTATCATTTTCAGACAGGCCGCCTGGAACAAGTTTTGGAGCTAATGTCACGTGTTTTAGTATCAGGTTGTAAGAGCATGTGAATTGTTAATGACTTTCTAAACTACTGTTTTAAGTATGGGCAATTGGGCATGCCATCTTTCAAGGTGCGGATGGTATTATGATGATTCACTGCTTTTATTGATAAAACAGAATTTTAGTATTATACCGCATTTTAAATATATTATAAGCAAGCTTGCAAAAAAAAAGAAAAACAGCTATCAGTTCTTTTGGCATACATGTATATTCACTTATTCAGATCTTAATTGAGACATTGTTACTCAACATTATTGAATTCAAAACCTTTTGCTTTCCCTTGAATGTTAAAATTGTTTATAGGACTGTAGTACAATTGCAGAAACTTTAAATGTTAAATGAAGAAGCAAGACAATGTAAAGTTAAGGTTTCCTTTCGGTGTCACTTGAACAAACAGTAGGTCCCATGCTCCATTACATTTACCCGAGCAAAAACTCCTGAAAAGAAATGCATTCTACATTATTTTTACAATTTCTCTATGTGCTCTTCAAAATGATATGAACCATACTAAACTAAACCAAACCTGGACCCTGTTTCATAAAACTTGTTATCAATAACAAGTTACGATAGCTGTTAAAAGCTACTGAAATCGTGGCAGTTGATTGGCTGAAAGCAAATTTGTCATAGAAATTTAGCACTTGTTATTGATAGCAAGTTTTATGAAACAGGACCCTGTTTGGAGCCACAAGGGCATAAAATCTGTGTTAATGCATGTATCATTGAGGTCTGACCTACAACACAGATTTTAAATACCCCTTAACCCACAAACAAGAAGGGTAGCGATTTGGGGTAATTAATCATTATAGTTTATCATTAACGGTATCACTCAGGTCTGACTAGCCCCCTAATGAAGTCCTATCACTTTACCTGCCAATGCATACAGTTTTTTCATTAGAATTCAGGATTACCTGTAACATATTTTTCTTCCTGCACTCTCTCAGCGGGTATCTATTCCTACTTCCGTTAACAATGTAGAAGGGTGTTGTCATGTTATTGCGCACTCAATGCATCCTATTCCCTCTCGTATAACATCTCCCCACACCTCCACAGGAAGGGTGTTATTAGTACATCAAGGGATATCGTTACAAGAAACAATCTTATCAACATGACTGATTATCTCTGTTAATTGACTGGGGTGAACCTTATGACGCTGGGGAAATCCCCTTATGATTCCATGTGATGAAAGTTATTCCAAACAGCTGTAACCGGTAAAGAGCATGATGTTTTGAAGTTTTTCAAAACAACAGGATAATATTACGATTTAAACCTCTAATATCGAGAGGTTCTTTATTGAAATGTTCGTAAAATCATGATGTTTAGGTATGTTATAGCTTGAATGGTTTGACCTTTGAATAAAAATAGTTAGCTCCGTTTTCTCAAGCCAGCGGACCTCTTTGGAAGGGGTATCATATACAGACCTTTACAGTTCAATGTACCAATTAAATGCCTATTACTCTTTCAGGGTATGCTTCCATCTTCATTTTAATTTGAGAAGAATATTAGTCACTTGTTTTGAATAACCAATGCCCTGATGTACAGTTATTGTACCAGACCAGAGATAGGGTTCTCATGTTTTTTCTTCTTCATATAGCTCATCAAATATGTTTGCTTATACACAACTGCACAGATTATCATTTTCTTTACATCAATTTCCTTTTTAAGAGAGTATAGTTTCATCGTCATGATCATGGTTGGTAGGGTAATATTTGTAATCAATTCTTAATTATCAACACCTAATGTAAAACTACACCAGAGGTTAGAGCTTTGCCAAACAAACTTGTCGCCACCTTGTTGTTCTTCGTGTCACATGAAACCATCAGCCTCCAACATTGCTTTCCTCTCTATCATCCTCTTGTTTTCCTTTTATTTTCTTAACCTCCAGGATCTAAGGAAAATGCATCTGGAATTTCAACTGGACTAGCAGCAAGAAAACAACTTCAGCAGCAAGGTTCACGTTGTGCGGCACAGAGTCAATATTTGATGAGCGATTGCTGCCAGTACAGACAACCGGGCGGGCGGATGAATTAGCTACTTGGAGGATCTTTGCTGAGTCCTCTAACAGGGAAAACAAGACAAGAAGCCAGAGTTATCTCCAGGTAACTTGAGGGCTGGGCGTGGCTCGTTGGAGACAGTGACCATGGCGACAGCCTTCTTGCAAGATGGGGTGGGGTATGAGGACATGGCTAAGCTGCAGGATCTGCACGAGGGCAGTATACTGGACAATATCAAGCAGCGCTATGAAAAAGACAGGATTTATGTGAGTATTAACATTCACATCCATGATATTTCTTCTCGTTTATACTCACTGTTCGTACGGTAGGTGTGGTAAATGACCATGGAGATAAAATTTTAATGTGAGTTTGAAATGGCAGCAAGAAACAGAAGTCCATGTATGACTACCAGACAAGAAAAAGAATGAAAGAAAAAGAAATGATCGCAGATTCACTAGCTAGTAGCTCAGTGGTAAGGACTGTCATTCTCGAGCCAGTAGGCCCAGGGTTCAAAAGGAAGTTAAAGTATTACTATTAAATGCCTTTAAGTATTAAAGGCATTCATTCCTAATAGATTTCTCATTCAGGTAGGACCTGTAGCATGACATGTAATTCTCAATTCTTCCAATAACCTGGCTTTCTGAAAAGATGAGGTACAGTACATTCTCTCATGAATATTTAAGAACAGGAAGATACAGACCTTTACATATTAAAGACCTATGTGTTTTCTTTGTCTTTTTGTTGTTGTAAATCTTTGGTTGTTTTTTGGTTTTTATTAGGTCTCAGCCTGTTGGTGTTGGCACAATTACCATTAACCTTGGTGTGGTATGAAAATAATAAATATGTATCTGTCTTTGTTCTCTATATGCCATTCCAGACCTACATTGGCTCCATCCTCTGCGCCATTAACCCTTACAAGACCATCCCTGGTATATACGGGGATGATGTCATGCAAGTCTACAACAAGAAACATATCGGGGAGTGTCCACCCCACATCTTCGCCATCGCTAACGACTGCTACTACTCAATGTGGAAGAAAGGAGAGAACCAGTGTGTACTCATCAGGTGGGTGTTGCCAATTTTGTGCCATTTTAATCTAGTTAGTGATTATAACTGACTTTTTTTTTTAATAATTTTTTTTTATCTTGAACAACAAGTTTTCAGGATTGGAAGATATATTCTTTCAAAGGAAACATCAAGAAGCAAAAGGCTCTTTGAGGAGCTCACCATCCCTTCTCAGGACTCATTCCTTTCAAATAATGCTTGATCTAATTCTGAAAAAATATAGGTATTTTTTAAAATCTCATTCACTTTGTTAGATCGGTTAAAATGGGAAAGAAATGTATATTTAAAGAATTAAGGCATATAAATAACATCTGTTACCTTAGATGGAGCTGAAAAGACAAAATCTTCAAGTAAGTGTATATGTATAATTGTATATGTATATATACACTTGCCATAATTGAGCCTCTCTGTTACAAATGACTAATGAACAAATACATTTAAGAAAAAGAGTTACCGGTATAGACAACTTCATCAGGGTTTTGTGCTTTTTCGTAGTTGAAATCTTAAAAACTTCTGAAATTTTTGAAAATCGATTTAAGCTCAATATAATATTGATTGAAAAGATATGCTAAACAAGGCAGCCAAAGTTTAGAGCATCAAGCTCAATTAGCGCGTAGGAGAGGATGATTCATGTACCAGCGCTATGGAAGAAGCCATCATCAATTTAGATGACATCAAACATGTTACATAAGTAATTTTTTCTTCCGTTTTCGGTATTCACTATATTAAATTATTGTAAGCATTTCACTTTTCCAACATGATCATGGTTTAATACTTCATATATTTGTTGTTTGTAATATTTGCATATATTTTTGTGTAGATTAATTTTCATGTTTTTTAAGTATTATTCTTTGGTTTATAAAAAGAATGTATAATATGTGACAGTTTGGCTTTTTAGCTGAACTTTAACAAAATACATTTTTGTCATGATTAGAATTGTTCGGGAATAAGAAATAAAAATAATCATGATTATTTTTGTAATGATTATTTTTGTTGTTACATTTGCAGTGGTGAAAGTGGAGCCGGTAAGACGGAGAGCACAAAGTTCATCCTCAACTATCTCTCTGAACTCAGCCAGTTTGCAATGATAGGAAGAGAGCAAGAGGTCAGGTCAGGGGTCAGAGTTGAAGATGCCATTTTACAGAGCAGGTTAGTCTTTTAGTGATCTCTGTCACTCAGTGAAAGTAAAAAAATTACAATTTCATTCTAGGCAGTAGCATAATTACTGGGGGCACAGGGGAGGGGGCATGCCCATCAATCAAATGGACGAAAAAGGAAAAAGAAGAGATGAAATATTGGAAAAAGATAAAAACAAAGAAAAATTGATAGAGGAAAGGGATTTGAAGAGAAGACCCCTTTTACACCTTCCAAATTAACAATCTTGTTGATTTACTTTTAATACGATGAGAAAAACTGTTTTTTGACATTATGTTCCTTTCTCCTACTAGTAATTATGGATCCACCTTTGCTTTGGTTGTTCGTTTAATTGTTATTTGATGACACTTTCATCCAGTAGATAATTGTATGGTACTACAGTAAAGTGAAATAGATATTGCGCTAATAATGCTTATGTACCTACATAGATATTATTAGAAAAATTGATAACTGTTTTAGTTTCTATCTCTTTGTTTTTTAACGGGTGTATACCTTTACTGTCAGACTAATTAGACATTCCCTTTCTTTATCTTTATCTTTTATTTTACTTCCATCGTTTGAAATGCTTTAATTGTTCGTTCAATCGATATATCTATAGGACTACATACAAGTGAAATAGATATTGCACTAATAATGCTTAGACATACATGTAAAGATATCAGAACAATTAATAAGTTTTTTGTTTCTATCTCTTTGTTCCTAAGGGGGTGTATACCATAACTGTCAGACTAATTAGACATTCCCTTTCTCAAACTTTTATTTTACTTCCATTGTATGACATACAATGTTGATAACCAGTTTCATATTGATTGAAGAGTTTCCTTTTTATTTATATCATTACTGTCAAGCTAATGATATAATCTCTTTCTTAAATCTTTATTTCACGTCCTATATTTCAATTAGAACCCAGTTTCATATTGATTGGAAACAGTTTTGCTTTTGTTTGTAAACCATATCAGAAAGTGTTCTAATGGTCCAAATTTAATTAGCTACTTATATCCTTTAAAGGCATTGTTTAACAATGTTTCCAGTTTTACAAATCAGAGATGCATGGCCCTAGGTGTTATCAGTGTCTGTGATATGGTGTAATATTGAAGCCTTAAAAAATTGCGCTTCAAAATGATCGTGAAGTGCTACAAACAGTAAAAATCTTTGAGTTCCCAGGTTTTACCATACTCATTTCCCCCAATAGGTTGTAGTGTTTATACCAAACTGTTCAAAACTGTTTGGCAAACAGTTTTGACATATTTCTAATTCCAATCATAAATATCTTGATAATCAGACAGGCGATTGGCTTGTAAACGTCATGGGATTGCTGACTGACCTAAAGGTTTATAATTATGATTGCTGCATGAGCTAAATCCAGGATTTTGTTTAGAATCTGAGGCAAAGATACCTAATCCCTTTAACATGTATACAACTAAACAGAAAGAGAAAGCTCAGAAATTCATTATGTCACCTTTCCAAGAAAACCACTTTCTGTATGATTGATAACATTCAACTGCAATGTAATGTTTATATCAATATTTACAACATTCAAGCATGTAGACACAACAAAAAGTATGAGGCTTGTATTTAAAAGCAAATTTGATTTTGTAGATGTTGATAATGATGATAATGATAATATCATTGATATTCATTCCTTGTATACAGAACAATGTTTGATTGTTTGTATCTACTCACATTAATAACATGATAGTGAATACTCAACTGCAGTGTGTTTTTGATGATAGACATGTGTGTCTTGATCTGTTTGGGTTAGAATCTTTTTTTCTGTGTCCGACTCGTGTCGAACATATCGAACATATCGGAAGCTACTATGTTTCCTCCCAACACTTCCTGCGTTAAAAGATAGTAATCCAACGGAAAAGGAAAACAGGCTTCTGCTAGACCAATTGATAGATTGAAACCTTCTGTATATATAGGTTAAAGTGTGTATATCAACAGTGGCTAACTTGTACATGGAGTAGGAATGAGGAAATGTGATTTAAATTGTGTTATGTATTATGTATGAAGTAAATGAAATAGAGAGATAATTGAAATTGTAATCCTCTCAAGTTTTTGTAAGTTTACTTTTAACATAGGGAAATTCATAAGTGTATGATTCAGGAATGTCAGTTTTCAATATTTGTTGCTTGATTTCAACCTCCCTTCCACCTCAGTATGTTTCAGGCTATTCAAGACTTTTATAGTGAAAGAGAATAATGGGCTCCATATATATCTTGAGTTTCATTTCAGGCTCATTGTTTCAAATCAACAGGTATATACCTGATAAGTGAATTCACAGAGATAAGACAGTGTTTAAGCTGCCTGTTACATACAAATATGGCTCAATCAATATTTAGCATTTGATATGCATGGGTACAGTGGGAAAGCATTTATGTGCATGAATTGTCATCCGTTCTCTTACATCTTGTTCTTTTAATCTTGCTCTCCTCTCTTTTCTCCAGTCCTGAGATCTCTGTTCTTTATGCTCCATGTTCTCCATGTTCTCCATGTTCTCCATGTTTTTTTTCATGTGCTCCCTCATTTTCTTCCTCTGGGGTCACTCTTTCTATTCCCCTCCAGCTCTGTCTCTCTCTCTCTCTCTCCACGCCCCCCTCCCCCTCTTTTTGTAATTTCATGATTACTGTTGTCTTTATGATTCAGGAAAATCTCATTTTAATCATTCTTCACATCATCATGCCTCTATGCTTACATCTGCCCAGCATTCAGCGTACTTATCCTCCTTGAAATTCATGAATTTGACAACTGGTGTCCTTTTGATCCAGGAAAATCTCATTTTAATCATTCTTCACATCATCATGCATCTTTGCTTACATCTGCCCAGCATTCAGCGTACTTATCCTCCTTGAAATTCACGAATTTGACAACTGTTGCCAATTTGATTGTCGTGTATGATTATCTCATTTCCTCTCTACCATGCAGCCCCATCATGGAAGCCTTCGGGAACGCCAAGACGGTGTATAACAACAACTCCAGCAGATTTGGAAAGTTCATTCAACTGCAGTTCACCCAGTCCGGTTCTATATGTGGAGGAAAGATCCGAGACTGTATCCTTTCAAATCAGTCTTTTTCATCAAGGAACATTTATTTATCTGTGCCTGCCATCTAGTTTTTGATCATTTGTTATTTGAATTTCCAAATGTTTAACTTTAACAGATGCCTGTAATAAATGTTTCAAATTTTGTGGATGAGGTTTAAAGTACGGTACATGGAAATTAAGTTATAAACTTCTAAATTAGCATAACTATTTCTGTTTCATGAATAAAACCTACCGGTATGCCAGTTTTAGTTTCAAAAAATTATTCAGTAGGTATCTCTTCCTTTTAGTTGTTGATCAAGGAATAGTTCAAATGGTTCTTATATTTTAGCCATTGAAACATTTCATTGCACATTCATGCAGTTTCCAGCTATATGAAATATTCAAGGGCTCATGTGATCAATGGTATATTATAATACTTTTACATGTATGTGGTGATACACTGAAAATAATCTCTCTATTTCGAAAATATATAGAAACAAGTATTGTTCCTTTTTATTTTCTAATCTTATGATCCTTGACTCATAACTGACAGACCTTCTTGAAAAGGTGAGTTGTTGTTTTGATACCAATGTCTAAAATTTCAACTCTCTGACTGTTCTCCTTTTGTTCCAACAGCCTGTCTTCCACTCTCTCCCTCTATCTCTCTCTCTGTCTCTCTCTCTTCCTCTCTTTATCTTCCTCTCATTTTCTTTCTCTTTCTCTTTCTCTCTCTCTCTCTTCATCTCATTTTCTTTCTTCCCCCTCTATCTGTGCCTATCTCTTCCTGAAATATTCTTATTCCGAACTACCTGTAGATTATTCTTACTCTTTCCCAATACTGCTCTTACCCTTCATTATACACAAATTTCATAAGTGTTTCCTGTTGAATCTTTATAAAGTAATTTTCTTACTCTTTCCTTGAGGTGTATATGGGTAACATAAGTTATCAAGAATGATAATATGTATGATCATTTCTAATAATGTTTTTTTTTTTTATATCTGTTTACATGTAATACTATAAAACTTGTTATTTATATTCAATATAAGAATGTTAACCATATTACAATATGATTATCTTATATCCTAGTCTCTGTCTTTCCGATGACTGGGTAATGGTATTTCTTTAAACCACTTAGATGCATCGTAGTAGAAATACGTGCTATATAAATCAAGAATATTGTTAATTTTATTTCTCTCTCTCTTTTCTCTCATTACCTCAGAATCGTGTGGTCGGACAGAATCCCCAAGAGAGAAATTATCACATCTTCTACTGCCTACTTGCAGGGGCCGACCCGAAAATGAAAGGTAAAAATAAGATGCATATAATATACATGTTTACCCCAATTTTCAGGTCATCAGATTCAGGCTTACTCGCACAGTGTATGCACATTCTCCACTTCCTGGGGAGCATTCTCCATATTGTTAAAGGAAGTTGATGTCCCGTAATGATTTAGAAGTAGGGTTGATTGACATGATTATGAGATTCTTGAAAGGCGAAACTGAGATTTACATTGTGCATTATGTGATTAACAATAGCATTACAAGTAGGTAATTAATTGAATTAATTGAATGATTGATGAATAGTACTCATACTATTCAGTTACCATAATTTCTCATCGAATGAAGTGATTGTATATCCCATGAAATAAGAAATTACATACATGTTACAATACAATAAAGTAATTTCTATAGCGCTCTTACAAACTAACTGTTGTTTCACAGGGCGTTACATAAAATTATCAAAGAATCTATTGTTGATGTAATGTTATACTTAGTATATGATTTAGGTGCTATTTTCGATATGGAGTGGTTTAGTAACTATGGGGGACATAATAAATACTTAAAAACATTCAATGGTGAGTTGGAAATAGTAAGCATTGAAAAATAGAAGATTATTCTTGGTTTCAGTTGTAGATAGGCATTTGTTTGTCATCGTCGGGAGGTGAATTACATTAAACTGAATAACATGTAAGTGAAAGAGGAATAAAACATATCAGAAGAAGAGAAAGATGAAGAACTAAAGGAGGATGACATGATAGTAGAACAAGAGATAGATAAAGAAGTAAACAAGGATGACATGATAGAAGAAGAAGAGTGAAAAAAAGTAATGTGTAATGCAGAACAAAATGCAGAAAAACAAAGAAAATATCGAAAATACACAAGGAAGTAAAATATAGGAGGAGGAGGAGGAGGAGGAGGAGGAGGAGGAGGAGGAGGAGGAGGAGGAGGAGGAGGAGGAGGAGGAGGAAAGAATGAAAGAGATTTTTAAAAAATTATACATTAAAAAAAAAAACATAATTGTTAACACCAGCTTGACTTTATTATCACAATGATTCTTTTCTTAAAACATGAAATAGAGGAGAGCAAGTTATTATTTTGCTACAGCATCTCACCTCAAGAGTTAAAAATTAGAAGTTCATGAATTTATCCAACAATCCCAAAGCTATCCCCATATCTCAGAGTGAAGCTTGTATTGAAAGAGACAAAGCTTGAGGACTAGTACTTCTATTTGTTCATTTTATGGTAACAAATATGTAAATTTTCAACTTGAGGGAGCGTGTTATTGGAGATTGTGTGTCCATCCCCTTCCTGTGGGAAATCTAGATAAAACGTTTGCTTTTAGTTTGCATTGCAACACAATCATCAAATCTGTTAATTTTATTGTATTTTGATAAGTTTACTCTGTGAGAATTACTCCCAAAATGCACTTAATTATATTATATATAATATTGAACATCTTCTTGTATTTGTTAAAAAATTTAGTTATATCTCATGAGGACCGGGTAATTATATAATTACCACAGACTCTCAAGCATTTGATTGTTTACATATAGTTTTCTAGAATATATTTGTCACTATTTTGGTGTATATTAAAAAGTAATGAACAGAACTTTAACTTTCAGAATAAGCCTACCAGTACATTGCATTTAAAGCTTAAAACAGGTGCATTTTATGACACAGATGCCCCCCCCCCCCCCACTCCATCTCTCCATCTCAAATACATCACTATTACCCAAGTCAGTGTCACTTCCTAACGAAACAGTGTAACATCAGGTAATGAATTATTTCACTCTACCAAACAAACGTGGCATATTCCCCAAATGCAGCAAAGTGCGTTGTGTGTTATTCGTAGTGGCGTAAAATGCACGGCACGTGTCAGAATGATTCAATCTTGTTGGGTTGTGGTGCGTCAGAATTCCCCCTTGCCACTTTAGGCCATTCATCTTGCGGGATTCCCTTCCAGTGACTCATGCCAGAGCTGAATAAATCAACGCATCTAATTCAAACTTTTAGGGGTTATTACATTTATTTTTGTCTGTAACTGTGTTTTAAAGGGACAGACTGAGAGTAGTTTGAATATATATCTATTTTGTGATATTAGGTCTGTGAGCAGTTGTAATTGTCGATTGGGGAAACAGCTAGTGGTTAAATGGTTAAATATATATAAAGCTAACAATAGAGAAAAGTAGAGAGACAAAAGAGAAAATTTGTGCTTGGGAGAGATGGCCTGTTTGATGTAAAAGTTGCTTTTGGTGATAAAAATGAGGCTGAAAATGTTTTAAAGAATCCACATCATTGGCCAACGTTTTGGTTTGTAGGTTTTGAAAAGAATACATATATTTTCCTGATATTTCAAAAGATAAAAATACATGTTAGTAAAGGCTGGTTGAATCATATTATAATTTGTCTAAAATTGGCAGTTGATCCATGCACCTGTAATGTATTTTTTATCAAAATATTTTCTATTTTTAGAACAATTTCATGGATAGCTAATCCTTCTGGGATAGTCAGGGAAAGGGGATTTTTTTTTAATGCCATCAAATGTGTACCAACAAACACAAAAATAAAAACACATAACAACCATTTGGGAGCCTGTCTTAATTGGTATTGCTGTGTGGTTTTAAAACTCATGATACTTTTTCAATGGCATTTATCTCTCATTCATAAGAAAGCCAATTCTAGCTTATTGATGTGCAGTGAGCCAAACAGAGGTGGTGATTGCCAATTTCACACTTTAACAGTGTTACAGAACATTAATTTACATATATATTATCTCTATCTGGGATAAGGGACGATAAACAAATTTGTTATTGCAAAAGTACAATGAACCTAAGTTTAAATATATATATATCTTGATCCTTTGTTAGTGTTTTGATAGATTTATGTGCTCTTTTGTTAACAAAGCATGAAGAAAATGATGAAATGGAAGCAGATATGAGAACTAGGGTACATTGGTTTTATAGTATTAACAGTGGGGGGGGGGGGGGGTTACATGTGGAGTAAATCCCAAAGGACATGTCCTGGTGTAATGTACATGTTATATAAGGTTTAGGGTTTGGTTCAGGTATAATGTTAAGTCCAGTGTTTAAGATAAGAATTTGATTGAAATGGAGCTATCGTTTTCATAGTATGGGTCATATAGAACTCCATCAGTGTGTTTATAAATATAGGATTTAAAAACGAAGTCTAATGGAGACAGATGTTTATGTTAGATGTAGCTTATTACAATGGTGTTATAATGAGGGACCCTAAGTATCACTCACTGATGGGGATGGTGGGAAAGGGGTAGGGATGAGAAGCATGGCTTAGCCGATAGTACAGATGAAGGTTACTGCATATAAGGGGATTAGGCCCCTGGGAATCATGTAATTGATTTGGTATTATGTCACTGGAAATCATCCATGCAAATTAGATTGATGTTGCTGTGAAGTTTAGAAGCATGAAATGGGATTGGGAGATGTGCCTTTGTTTCAGTTTTATTTCCGTCTTTGTCTCTCTTTTCATTTTATCTGCCTCTTTTGTGTATTCCTTTTCTCTCTCTCTCTCTTTCCCTTGTTCTACTTCAGAATGTCTTCTTCCTCCGTCTTTCTCCTCTCTGTCTGCCCTCCTCTCTTTCTCTCTTTCTACTGCCTCTCTATCTCTCTCTCTCTCTCTCCAGTCCTTATCCATCTGTCTCATATAATTTTGTTTCTGTCTGTCTCAGTTTTACTTTGTCTATTGATGATTTTTGTTTTACTTCTTTCAATTTTTCCCCTTGCTTATTCCCCCTATTCCCCCTCTCTATTTATCTCTCTCTTTCTTTTCTTTTCTATCTCCTTCTTTCTTTCTTCTCTCGCTGTCATTGTTGTTTCTTTGTCAGTCTTACTCTGTGTCCAACTCTTTCTACTCCCTCATTTCAATTGCATCAAAATGCAGATATTTGAGCTGATGTGTTACTGGGAGTTACAGCTTTTTATTTTTATTTTGATGTGATTACACTTGTACTGTCTTCTTTGTATGTTTGCAGGAGAGCTTCGTCTAGGAGACATCAGCAAGTATCACTACCTAAACCAGAGCGGTTGTACATGGGATGATACATTGGACGATAGAGGGAACTATCAACTTATCAAGGTACATTATTATTATTAGTGCTACAGTATTAAAGGGACTCGGTAACATTGTCGCAGATTCTGAAACAAAATCCTGGATTTAGCACATGCTGCCATCATAATTATAAACCTTAAGGTCAGTCAGGAATCCCATGACTTTTACAAGCTGATCACCTGTCTGATTATCTAGATATTTATGATTGGAAATTGAAATTTCAAAAACTGTTTGCTATTGGTTTACACTACAGTCTATTGAGGAAAATGAGTATATGGTAAAACCGGTCACTCAAAGATTCTTACTATTTTGAGGCACTTCATGATCATTTTGAAGGGCTTCAATGTTACACCATATCACAGAAAATGAAAACATGTAGGGCCATGCATCTCAGATATAACATCGATAAACGATGCCTTTAAGAGTAAGGCAGAAATTGTAACGCTGGTATCATTTGCTGGAGCCAAAAGGTCTAGCCTCTAAAGCTTCCTCACACAAAATCAAAAGTATCTCTGGGAGATTGTGCTGTCAGTTGCACCGCTCCAAAGCTTTGGAATAACCTACCATTAGACAAAAGAAAAGCCTCATCTGTTGCTGTCTTCAAAGTTTTGTTGACGACGCATTAGTTTTCAGGAGCTTTTGAATAGTTTTTTTCAAATATTTTTATTGTGCGTTTGTAAAGTACCACTGTTAAGACTTTTGTTTTCATCACAGCACAGTATAGTATATATATATATTTGGAAGCTGTGCTGTATAAATTGATCTAATTATTATTATGATCACATTAAAGTTTATGAGGTATGAGATTAAAGTTTATGAGTTATGAGATTAAAGTTTATGAGTTAGTCCTCGTCTGGCTCCTAACAGACGCTTTCTGGTATACATGTTCATGGACATATGATGAAATTGAAAGATGAATATTAATGTCTGCACGTATCATTACCCAATTTAGTGGTTATACATTAAATGAGACATTGAATGCAAAAAGGTAATTTATTGGTGTAAAGAAAGTCAGCATTTTTCTTTGAGCAGATCGGAAGGTTATTCAAATCCTAAGTGTGGAGCAATAGTCCTCTTGGGAATTTCATTCTTTTTAAATTCATAAAACCCAACAATATCTTCTGTGAATGTTCAAGATACAAAATAGAATTTATTATCCTTATGACCAGAGCAGAACTGTATTATAACTGATTAGTGAACGTACATACATTGTAGAATATGAAATTAAGTTTGTAGTCTTAAAAGATGGGATACTTACCGATATATTCAATGACATTGATTTTCCATGTATATTTTTAATGACAGTTTTAATATTCAGTCTAAATAACATATTTACATTTAATGCTGATACAAAATTCAAAGATGACTTTTAGCCATTTTGGTCTTGAAATTAGATTGCAGTATCAGAGCTCAGTAGTAAGACCCTAACACCCTGTCTTGTTCCATCTCTACAATATAGGATGCCATGAAGGTGATGGAATTCACAGATGAGAATGTCCACGACGTCTTCCATATACTAGGGGCCATTTTGCACATTGGCAACATCAAGTTTATCACAGCCGGTGGAGCTCAAGTAGAGAATATGAATGGTAAATATTGAACACCTTGTCGGTAGTGAAAAATGAATAAGATGAATTATATATCATTGATACGCTTATGAACCATATATTGCGATAATACAAATTATATGCTATTTTAGTGTCTGTCAGAGGAGTAACAGTTGTTTTCAATCTAAAGCTTTGAAAATCAGAAGTGAATTTTATTATACATTAGATAGTAGTTGGGCAGGATACTAGTAAAGATGTGTGTTTTCTTGGTCATATGCAGTGGCATGGTCGGTGATGCTTTCCTTCTGATTGGATCGGGACATGGGGGGATGTGTGATTTTTCAAACAAGATTACATTTTGTTTAACTTGCAAAACTATCATTTTTATTTGCTTCTCTCCCTGAAGGTAATGCATCTCTGCAATATAACTGAACTATGTTTGTGTATATAATCTGTTGTATACTGTTTATGTGATGTCCACTTCAATTTTATAAGCTTGATTTTTTGTATATGTGCTTTTGAATTTTAAATTTTAAGCAAATAAAGAATGTTAAATGAAATGAAATTATCCACAACCTTGGAGTAAGTAACTCTTCTGCTTCATGTTGATGACTATCAGCTTTAAATGCACTGTACTTCAGTCAATGATATAGTAATATTATTTGTGCCGGATGTGAAAACTTAAAATTTGTTTCTGAATGTATTCCACAGCCGTGGAGATTGCAGCGTCTCTGCTCCATGTTGATGAATACCAGCTGATGGATGCACTTACACAGAAAACTAGAACCCTGAGAGGAGAAGTCATCAGTACTCCTCTGGATCTCGACCAGGTAAGATCGTCTTCAAAGTTCAGTCCAGGGCAGGACAGGTCTCAAAGGTTTAGTTCAGTTCAGTTCAGTACAGGTCTGTTGAGTTTAGTTGAGCATAGGACGAGTTCATTTCAGTTCTGCTCATGCAGAAGACCAGAACCCTGAGAGGAGAAGTCATCAATACACCTCTGGATCATGACCAGGTAAGGTCTTGAACATATCACCTTCAAAGTTCAGTTCAGGTCAGAACAGGTCTGGAAAGTTTAGTTCAGCTCAGTTCAGTTCAGTACAGGTCTGTTTAAGTTTAGTTGAGTATAGGTCCAGGTCAGTTCAGTTCTTCTCAAATAGAAAACTAGAACCCTGAGAGGAGAAGTCATCAGCACACCTCTGGATCTCGACCAGGTAAGATCGCCTTCAAAGTTCAAAGTTCAGTTTGGGTCAGAACAGGTCTGGAAGGTTTAGCTCAGTTCAACTGCATTTAGTTCAGTTCAGTACAGATCTACAGTTTAGTTAAGCATATTTCCAGTTCAGTTCTGCTCATGCAGAAGACCAGAACCCTGAGAAGAGAAGTCATCAGTACACCTCTGGATCTTGACCAGGTAAGGTCTTGAACATATCACCTTCAAAGTTCAGTTCAGGTCAGGACAGGTCTGGAAGGTTCTGTTCAGTTCAGTTCAACTCAGGCCAGTTCAGTTCAGAACAGGTCTGTTTAAGTTTGGTTGAGTATAGGTCCAAGTCAGTTCAGTTCTTCTCACATAGAAAACTAGAACCCTGAGAGGAGAAGTCATCAGCACACCTCTGGATCTTGAACATATCATCTTCAAAGTTCAGTTCAGTTCAGGACAGATCTTGAAGGTTAAGTCCAGTTCAGGTCAGGACAGGTCTGGACAGGTCATTTAAGTTTAATAGAGCATAGGTCCAGTTCAGAATAGTTCTGCTCATACAGAAGGCAAGAACCTTGAGGGAAAAAGTCATGAGTGAAAAGGCTGCTCAGCATAAAGATGTGACTTAAATAAATACATTAATAAACCCCTCTTTATCTTGACCAGGTAGTGTCATCAGGTTTCATATTGAAACTTTAGTTCAGGTCAGGGCCCTGTTGCATAAAGCATTCATAGTAAATTTACCAGTAAGGGTTAGTTCCATGGAAACCTTGATTTGATTGGCTGTTAAGTGATGATGTTGCCATGGTAGTTAATATTGATGGCAAAGTTACCATCAGTGTTAAGTTTTATGAGTTCAGCCTTGATCAGAGCAAAGAAAAATTAGGTCTGTCTGTCTGTCTGTCTGTCTGTTTTCATCAGCTCGAGATTGCCAAATATCCCGCTATTTGAACTATCCCGATCGCAAATTATCCAGTTAATTTGTGTCTTCGTCAGCTCGAAGTTGCAATTATAGCGGGATATTTTGTCGAGATAATCATCCCAAGATATCTTGAGCTAGTCTCGAGCTGATGAAGATGCGATTTGTAACTTTGGGATTATTTCCCAAATCAGAAATAGCAGGCTAGTAGGCAATCTCGAGCTGATGAAAACAGGCCTATTGCTTTAATAGGAGAGGAATGGAAGGCACTGATGTAGTCAAATTCCCAAATTGTAGGGCACAGTAAACATGATCTACAACATTGCAGGCCATCCCACACACATACATGTATGAGATGAACATGTATGTAACTTTCCATTGCCATATAATTATTGTCTGGTTGCTAGAAAACACAGACAAATATAAATATAAATATTGTTCATTTGCTGGGTACCATCATTTTTTAAATATACCTCTCGAACTATGAGGAGAAGCAGTTCGTTCTATGATAGCCTGTTGTTTATTTTATGGCTCTAGGAATAGCCATTAAAATTTACTTCTATTCGTGAATAACAACAAAAGTACATGCATCTCTTCAAAACTATGATACTGAATAATGGAGAATAGATCATGAAATATGCTACAATACTTACATGTACCTGTATATGTATTTAAAAATTAAGAAATGTTACATCATAATTTAAAATTTATTTTCTTAATAATTTTCTCCACATTGTTTTTTTCTTTCAGATGAGATGGAAATGATTATATTTTCATAAAACAGACAGTGCATGTTAAATTGTCCGAAATGTTTTTGCAATATTGAATTACTTAGGACGACTAATATATAATCAACAAGGCAGAAAAATGAATTCACCCAAAGAAATATACTTGAAAACTAACATATCGATACTATCTATACTGTAGATGGGTAAAACAAGCATCATATCATGTCATCTTTGACCTGTGACCTTTAACCCTTTGACCTTTTTTTAATAGGCTGCTGATTCAAGGGATTCCCTGGCCATGAAGCTCTATGCACAGTGCTTCAAATGGATCATTCAGAAGATCAACAACCGCATCAAGGGCTTCGGAACGTACTGCTCCATTGGCGTCCTCGATATCTTTGGATTCGAGAACTTTGAGGTCAGTTATAAAGTAGATAACAAAAAAATATTATTAAAAATAAAATGAAACAATAACTGGCTGATAAGGATGTCTACTGCTCCATCAGTGTCCTTAATATCTTTGGATTTGAGGTAACCTTTTAAAATTTGATCTGAAAGTAAAATAATTATATACTTATAGAGAGGTCTACTGATCTATTGTTTTAGGTTACTATAAAGACCAACAAAAAAATGATTGAAAAATAAAATGAAAAGTGAACCGGCTGATAATAAGGTCTACTGTTACATTGGTGTTCATGATATCTTGCAGGCACAGGTGTATTTTTTTAAAATTTGAACAAAAATAAATATGAACCAGTTTCAGGCTAATAATAATGTCTACTGCTGCTACTACATATATTACTGCTTTATTAGTGTTTTCACCTTTTTTTATTCTGAGAACTTAGAGGTATGTAGGAGAGATGGACATTTGATTTGAAGATAAAATGACAATTTTTAATATTTGGATTGAGAACAAAAAATAGATGATGACGTGGTCTTCTACTAGGGTGTTTTTTTAAAATTTAGATTTAAAAGATTCAGTATTAGAATGTAGCAGAGTACCATAATTTAAGTCCTTCTTCTCCCTCTGTAGGTGAATCGTTTTGAGCAGTTCAACATCAACTATGCCAATGAGAAGCTTCAGGAGTACTTCAACAAGCACATCTTCTCTCTAGAGCAACATGAATACGCTGCAGAGGGTCTGGAGTGGGTCGACATTGCTTACCAGGACAACGGAGAGTGTCTAGACCTGGTGGAGAAGGTAAGCACTGAAGAACAGATCGAGAAGACATAGAATGGATGCTGTAACACCTGAAAGTTTCATGTACAGACATTTTTTGAATTTTGCAAGTGGTCCAGGTCCAGGTCCATAGAACTTGTTGAAATGTTTATTAAAAACTGAAATGAGCTCCTAAAATCCTTGTATTTGATTGGATGTGAGCAAGTGTGTTCTAGAAATGTAAGACTTGTGACTTAGTGATAACAGGTTTTATGAAACAGGACCCAAATGTTGTGATTCATGACAATATTTTGCAGCAAATATGGCTGTTATTAACAAGTCACAAAAGTTTCATCTCCAGAATATTTCTGAGTTTAAATTTAAGAGTTAAGATTTATATCAAAATTCTTCTTGAAATGTGTGCAACTGCAAAATTTATACAGGTATTGAAGGAAACTTGACCAGGGTGATAGTGCACTGTCAGCCATTGCAAAAATGCTCTAAAACATACAGTTATTTGTATTGTTATATTTAATTTGTTGATCGTCTTTCTCTTTCCAGAAACTTGGCATCTTATCCTTGATCGATGAAGAGAGTCGCTTCCCGAAAGGGACAGATGTGACCATGCTTGAGAAACTACATGACACACACAATGTAAGATTAATAACGAACACGATTTTAATATTTTCTCTTGATATAATGTAATGTTAGAGCTCTGTTTACGTAATGATATTGATAGCTTATCAAGAAATTAAAGGTAAACTTGAGCAAGTTCTCCTACATACCAACTATTACAAAATAGAAGCAAAATCTATATTGATAAATAATACTCTTTACTAAAATCTTTTGTTGTCAGTGCCACGTATAATGTCATATAAAATATCTGCAAAAAAAATTAGTTAGATGTGTGACTGCCAATTGTAAAACAAGAAATACGAGGGCATTATTACCGTCGATGAGGACAACAATCCAAAACACCACTGTTTTAGGCTGTACATTTGTTTGATACTTCCACCTGTATTTTGTGGCATTTAAATTAATCCCCATTTTATCTACAGTGTATATCTGAATGCATTCATGATTGATAACTCTGAATTTTATTCTGAATGTTTTCTTGTTATAAAGACCATGTTTTATTTACACTTACATTATGTTTTTACATTATGTTATATTTTTCTAGAAAAACGTGTTCTATGTGAAGCCTCGAGTGACGGACAAAAGGTTTGGGATCCGGCATTATGCGGGCGAGGTGTTCTACACGACGACAGGCTTCCTAGAGAAGAACAGGGATACCTTCAGAGATGATATCCTACATCTAATGAAAGAAAGCAGGTAAGGTCTCTCAAACCTTATTTATAAGATGGTGTAAAGCACCTAAAAATGGCCATGGGAAAATAAAATGAAATAAACCTGTACATTTAGGCGTAGTGTGCTTCATTTTTCTGTATCTTGCTACAGTGAAACCTGCAATACAATGTCTTTGGTTTTTGTTTTACTGGGTAGAAGATTGTTATCCAGGTTAAATAAAATGATATCATCACTTTGGAGTAAGGCATTTTGATTTCATGGCTATTTTTGTAAGGCAATGTTTGTTTTCAAGATTTGCTACTATTGCAACTGTAATCATGCTTGAATTATTAGTGAGGAACGTTTGCATGATTGTGTCCCATGCAACCAGTTGTGTTGACGATATCAGGCATGCCTACTAAGTTTTAAGGTCGGTAGAAACTTAAACTATATGTTATGATTACCCGAACAAATGAAAGTTTTCTGTAGCAGGAATGCATGCTCTTCATGATCGAGAGTGATTGTCTTGAGAAGCTGAAAGCCATGCTTGTGATTTAAGTGAACTATGTCCTTTGAATGTCTTTGTGAATCGATACAGCGCGATTGTGAATTCAGGAACTCACTGTGCTTGTGAAGAGGTTTTGTGCTCATCCATATCAGATTCCCTTTCTTGTAAATTGTCATAGAGGGCAGCATCATTAATTTTAAAGAAATCTCATTGCATTGAGCATTCATTGACTCCCCGCAAAGGGGCAATCAGCCCAGCTCTGTAGAACTTGAAGATGGAGATTAACAACCTTTAAACTTCATTGTACATGTAGCTGATCAATAGGGATTGGTGTTTATTTAGCACACATATTAAAGCTGCTTTAAATGAAATTGATAACATGATTTATGAAACAGTGCCCAGGTGTATTTATATTGTGAACAGAAAGGAAATGTAAGAGAATATGCAGGTTATGATGCCAATTGATGATTTCATTTCAAACAAATGCCAAAATAGAAATGAAATTATCATTTACCATTGATACTGTCTTTTAGTTTTATTGCACCCAAGGTTCTATCAATTTAGTGGCACCCTATAAAACCTGGTCCCAGGTGATTTGGTTTTACGTTATGTGTGAGGACTATTGTCTGTTGAGAGCTGGCTTGGATCATAGATGTCATGAACTCATACTTTTAGATCTTGAGTTGATGCTCATCAGGTTTTCAGCAGATAGTACAAGAATGATGTGATGGAGTGTGTCATGATGAATGGCTACAGGACTCGTGGGAGGAATGATGTTTGATAATAAACAGGGTCAATTGCTCTCAATTGGGATGTAGCATATGGAAGTGGATCATAATGCAGGTTATTCAATGACACACTAACCAACAGAGTCAGGTCATCAAATGTTATGAATTAAATTGTAGAAGGAGGGGGGGGGGGGGGGTAAGAAAGAGTCTTGATCAAGTATACAAATGTTATTGAAGTTTCAGGATTATTGCATTGTCAAAACAAAACAAAGTTGTTGAAAGCTCTTTCCGGAGATAAAGAATGAATGGTACTTTGGATGAAGACCTTGTTAGTCTTTACTCATGTAGTGCCCATACTGTGGCTAGTTCTGCAGGCTTATACACTCTTTTCACAGTTTGAAATTATACATTAATAGGAATAGAGTAAGTCTATATCTGCTTGCGCGGTCTCAACCTGTAACATTTATAGTCTGTTCTCCAGACCTTCAAGACCTAAGCTAAACTTGCATAGGTACATGTGAGAGGACCTCACACAAGAAGACCTCACGTAATGCTGAGCATAGTCTGTCTGCCTTCTGCAGCGAACATTTCATCGTCTGTGCAGGAAATAGGGATATTGAATTTGAGTTCAATCCCCCAGGGATTATGATAAGGAGATGAATGAAAAGTTTGAATGCTACATATATCTCAATCGGGGTGTGCATAATTTGTATTTTTATTGGTAGTTTGCTTTCTGAAAGTAGAATTAATTTCCTGGAAGTGATAGTGTATGATATTTGATATTTTATGTTGCTTTTTAGTAAACTGCAATGTCTACAAGAGAAAGTACATGTAATGACAATTCAGGATTAGCTTTATTAGTACAGACAGTACTTTTACAGTCCTTAAAGCAAATCTTTTCAGTTGCGAAATTTTATTAGAGCATCACTTGTTGACTAAAAATATTAATTCTCAAAACCTTTTCATTAATGATTTTTCAAGATTTAATTCCTAGCGCTAAAATAAACCTCACCCTTTGCTTTTATCCTTGAGCGTATTTGCTCTCAAAACCTTTTCTTTCCCCGAAAAGGTATACTGCAATCTTTGCATGAGAAATGGTAATCCTTTATATTGTTTATGTAATATTCAAATTTTTTTTTTTTTTTTTAAATAATAATTCCTCCTCAGCGTAGTTTTGTTTGTGTAATATTTGAATGAAGACAATGATTTGTATTTGGGTATGTAATGTTTGAATGAATCTTTATATAATTTCATCCATATTGTATTTTTGGTTAAGATTGTTGTAATTAAGTGAGGCTTGATGGCTCAGTGGTAGAGCAGTGGTCTCGTTATAGGGAGGTCCTAGGTTCAAAACCAATTTGATACAGTGGTGCCCTTTGGTTGGTAAGACATTAATCCTCATTCCCAAGTCTCTCAGAGAGGACATAAGCTGTTGTTCCCCTCATTAATACAAGCATCCACATGCTTTCTCAGTTGTCTGGTAAAACAAACAAACCAACCAACTGCATGATTCCTGATCAAAATGGAGCCTTTGAAAATTTGTTTCCTTTGAGAAAATACATTGTATCTTTAAATCATAAAATATAGTTGTCACTTTAATTTCAAACATGATTCTCTTATCGATGCCTGAATCATACGAGGGAGTGATTATCGTTTGCTATGGCAACCGGACAAAGCAGAACATGGTTTCCGACTGTTCCAGATTTATGAAGAGGTGCCAGTCATAATTCATCAGGTTGTTTTTAGTGTGAGCTCTAAATCTCCCTTTATCTGAGCTAGTCTGCGTTACAAGTCGATGATTGAGAGGAGACATCTTGACATTTCATGTTTAATAAAAGAAAATTCCGTCTGCTCAGAAGTTAGAAGGGCATTAACTCATATTTTTGTATGGAATTTGTGTCTTTCTGTCTCTCAGCAAACTATTTTTTGATGTTTTTGTAAGATCTTGATTTCTTGTGGCGCGTGGCTTGGAGAGATTTGCTGAGTCATATTGGTGACAAACTATAGCTATTCTTCTTTTAAACCAGTACTCACAATGTTTGATTTGTTTTCAGGTATTCATACAATAATTTGTGGAAGTAATTATTTAAAAGGTTTGCCTCTGATTATCAAAGAATAATGTTGACTTTGAAAATAGTGCCAGTAACTATTATTGGGTATAGATTATGGCATCAGAAATGCTATCCTGTGTGTAAAGTTGAGTAATATTGTTGGCTAAGTAACAAAATGGCAAGATGCATGTAAAAATAGTAAAGTTAACATACTTCTGCTTCTCAGGAAATGATATGCCAGTATAATTGTACACTTCTAATAGAGTAAAAAGACTTGTGGTGCAAAATGGCATGAGTTCCCTTCTAGGCCCTGTTTCACAAAACTTGTTATCAATAACAAGTTACAATAACTGTTATTAGCCACTGAAATCATGGAATTTGATTGGCTGAGAGCAAAGTTGTCATAGAAATTTAGCATTTTATTGTTATTGATAACTGGTTTTATGAAAGAGGGTCCTGGTTTTCTGCACCTGATGTACAGTATATGTTGGACCTGTATGATAAACAGTTGCAATTAATTAAATTAAATCTAAATTGATATATATTGCAACTCTGTAGCAAAGTTTGCCATTGATTGGAGGGGTTTTAATCGAACCAGATCAATTGCAGCTCTTTATATGAAACTTGATGAAGTTTTTATGTGCACTTTATTAGCAGTTATGATTCTGTCTTAATTTTGCCGTCTGGGTGTGTGAAGTAATGCTTATGAGGATGGATGCGTCTATAGATTGGGTGCCAAAAGCAGTCAGTTTATCTACAGACTTCCCTCATGCTGGCAAGGGCTACATGCAGCTGTAGATTTTAATAAGCCTCTTAAAGGACTTGTTTCCATTAGCCAACGTTTTAAAAGAAGCCAACTAATTATAATCCAAGGAAATTGACCTGATCACTACTAGCTCTAGCTTATTATCAGTGTAGGTCATGCATACTAGTGAGCAGTGCAGATGCATATTACTGACTAATTATATCGTCTCTATTTTCACGAAGTGACGGTAGTGAGGAAAATCGTCACCCAAAGTGAATGCAATTTTTTTTCACTACCGTCACTTCGTGAAAACAGCGACGAATTATGTATACCGTAGTAGGGTAGATGCTTTTAAAATGCTATTTCCTTGATACCCTTGGGATGTGAACTTGTCCTATATATTTTGTCCCAAGGAAAATAAGGTTTGTTTGCTATAAAAAAAAGGAAGAGAAGAGAAAAATGACTATGTACGTAGTTAATTAGCAGGCTAAATAGTAAATTGGATAGGGAAATCACATTTCGACTTGACATGGATTCTTAGGCCCTTTAGTTTCATGCCTTGAGCATGCAGGGATCAGACTTATAGAGATCGGGAACTCTAAACTCGGTACTACCTAAAGAACTGCTGATCATCATCAGTTTGAGGTTGATCAGGCTAGTGGGGAGGCATCTCAAAGGATATAGCAAGTGTAAACCACACCCTGATAAGTTGGAGTACTGATCAGACTGCTTACCCTCAAAGAGGAAAGTAGCTAGATTTGTGTATTAAGAGAGACTGCTTTGGATGAATTGACATAAAATTTGGATGTAGCTATAAAAAGGGTGTAATGCATTTATTGCATTACATGCATGTACATGTACATGTATTAAATTGTCAATGTAATGTGTAATATGTTGCCACTGATTCTAGACTCTATCTATCTATCTTCTAGATTCTATTTTCCTCCTTCTTTTTCTTCTCCTTTTTCGTGTTCTTCTTCTTTTCCATGTTCTTCTTCTTTTTCATGTTTTTC